GTTGTGCACTGTGGTCGGCGCTGTGGGCTCCGGTAAATCGTCCTTGCTATATCTGCTATTGAAGGAACTAAATATTGACTCTGGTTCCGTGATTCTCACTCAGGACTCCTCCAGGTCTAACTTTCAGGACAATTTATCTGATGGTTACTCTACGAGCAATTCAAATTTGCGCATATCTTATGCTAGTCAGGAACCCTGGATATTTAATGGTACTGTGAGAGAAAACATACTGTTTGGTCAGTTTTTTAACAGGGCCAGATACATGCAGGTAGTTATAATAGATCAAATCAAATTTGATACAAATTCTATTAATATCAACAATATTTATATATTTTTGCTATTTAACGTCATTATCAATAACTTCTCTTGTGGCAGAATTCTCAGATCTTTCAGTTCTTTACTTTAATTATATATATTAATCGCGACTCAATTGATTGCTAATGCAACAAAAGATGATATCTCTCTGCGTGTACCTACTATAAAATTTTATTCTGTTAATTCTTTTATATAAAAGAAGAATATCTAATTTATTTAAATTTCATACGTTTTAACATTTCCTAATGTTTCTTATTTCTTGATCGATTGGGAAATGTTGCAGGTGACAAATGTGTGCGCCTTGAGGAAGGATTTTCGACAGTTTCCACAGGGAGACATGACGATAGTCGGCGATAGAGGTGTATCACTGTCCGGAGGCCAAAGAATGCGAATCAATCTTGCAAGAGCCGTTTATAGAAAGGCAGATCTCTATTTGCTTGACGATCCTTTAAGTGCAGTGGATACTCGCGTTGCTAAACGTATCTACTGGAAGTGCATCACCGAGTTTCTCCACAACAAAACGAGGATACTCGTCACGCATCAGTTGCAATTTCTTAAACTGTCGAATCACATTGTCGTGCTGGATAAAGTAAGTTACCTAAAATAATCTTTAATTGCTTTTAAATAAAAAATTTGTTATATTAAAAATTTATATATTAAATTATATAATTAATTAATTAATGAAAGAATTTTGAGTGATAAATATTTCTTATACTAAATATATTTTTATTTTAATTGTTAAGGGTTTTGTTAAGATGCAAGGAGACTATAACAAATTAATACAGTTAGATAAAGGTTTCATTAAGATGATGAACAATTTGTGTCACGATGCGCAGAAAAAGAAAATAGACATGAGAGCCTCCGAAATGAGAAGAAACACGAGACGAGACTCGGAATTCTCGACCGCAAGTTCTACTGTACGATTATCTTTCACTTTTCAGTTTTAATAAAGGAGAACGTTGAAATCAAAATTTTCTACGTTCTTTTTATCTAATAATAACAGACTCGTAATACAATAAAATAATAATTAAAAAAATTTGTATTTCATGTTCGCATTGAAAATATTAATATAGTTTCACAAATTAACAATTAATAAAATACAATAAAAGGAATTTTGGAAGTAATATTGCCAGAGAAGTTAAGTGGTTCTCAAATACCTATTAATTTTCTTATATTTATTTTCTTAAGAATGTTTGGACTGTACAATCATCTAAAAACTATACTTGTTAAATAAAAACTAAAATCAAAACTTTGAAAACATAGATACAAATTAAAAATATTTTTTATCGAGAAATAATACAACAATTTTTTAAATTTTTGTTTGAAATTTTGTAATATTTAACATTTTCGTAAGATAAGCAAAAATGAGTGAAAAAACGAGTCCTAATACCAGTAAAAGCAAGCGAAAAATATAAATAAAGCAGTTTGAAAAATTACAAACATGCAAAACAATATTGATCATAATATATTCAAAATTATTTCAAAATATACAATTTGTAAAAAAAATTGTAAAAGTGGCACTTGTCATTTTGATTATTTTAACATTTGTAGAATTTATTTTTAGCTGCAAATAAAACACAAATATATAATAATGGATTTTTATCTTTTTAATTGTATAGAAAGTTTTTACCAGTATTAATAAAGTGCAATTATGTTTAGTTTCCGACAAATAAGTGAGTGTCCTTTTGGGAGTCTTATGCCGGTATTGGCGAGCTCTTTTACTCATTATTAGACGTAATAATAAAACAATCTAAAATTTTTTTTTTAATTTAATTTACAATCGTGCAGCACTCGGATACCAATGTTTCGGATTATATGAAGAACAGTTCGGAAACCGAGATGATGGCACACGGTCGTGTATCAGGCAGAGTATACAAGGAGTATCTGCATCACGGCGGCAACTATTTCACTTTATTTATGCTGCTGCTGATCTCTGTCATCAGTCAGGTCGCCATCACCGGAAATGATTACTGGACCTCATATTGGACTACTTTGGAAGAAATCAGGCGTACCGGAAATATTAATGGCA